ATCGAACACTTGGATGCTGGGGATCCAGTGATGAATAAGCCTGATCTAGTCCTTCTCTCATGCAGCTTTCATTCTAGCAAAGGAGAAAGTCATCAAATAAATTTAAATAACTACTCATTTTATTACTATTATGATAAATGAAACAAACTAGAAGTTTAGGAGGCTAAGGGAGCCTGTATCAGGGACAGTTGGCATGTTCTGGGTGGATCAGGAATGCTGAATAAATGTTAGCTAGGGAAGGATGATGTAGGAGAGAGCCTGCAAAGCAGAAGAAACAGCATGTGCAAAGGCCCTGTGGCAGAGAGGAATGTGCCCCCTTGGGGATGTGAGAAGAGTTTGCATCTCCCCCATACTGAGCAGGAGCCCTAGGAAACTCAAGGGTTGGCCTAGCCCTCCCATAGAACAATGCCATCATTTCTACTTACTTTCCTGCACAAAGGTGGTATAGGGGCAATCTTAGTATCTTGCTGGGTTGCATCTGGGCAGGGCTTGAAATGTAAGGGTTTGCCAGGCAGTCAACAGGGTGGGGCACTGAGTGTTTTCCCAACAACTCTTTATGCTGATCTTGCCTTAGCTTTGGAGTCTTGTTATCAAATAACGTGAGGGTGCTGGACGTAGGGCTCTTAGGATGGGGCAGGCTCTGTCTGTCACGTCTCTATAAAAATCTGCTTTATCTCACACTGGGGTGACAGAAATCAAGAATCTAGCATCTTTGTTTCCTTAGCCCGTGTGGAGTTGTTCATGGGGAAGAAGAACAGAACCTGCCCTAAAATGTCCCAAATTATTTATCAGTCAGGTCACAAATGAATACATCATACATCAAAACCCATGGGTTTTGAGACCACACATGGTGTGAATTGGGGATGATGACATTTGACCCAGGAGAGAAGTCAACGCACATTGCCCTGTCTGGGAAGATGAATGATATACAATAAAAGGAAAAGTGAATGATTCCTAAAGTTCTCCCTTAATTTTCAATCAGCACAGACTTTATCAGCTTGTTAGGCACATAGATCTGAAACTGTCCCCTCAACCAGGAATATACAAAAGGGCTAGCGACACAGTGTGGGGTGCCAACATTCCTGTGGGGGGCGGGCATGCAGCTCATTAAAATCAACCGCCCACTTGGCCTGAGCTACACCGTGCCAACAGTGCCAGGGATGACACAGTCTGGCCAAATTAGAAAGCGATTAATTTCCTGTGCAGTTGATTTATAAGGCAAGACAATGCCCCCCGAATAAACACCACTGAGCTTACACCCACATCTGAAGACAGACAGGTCATAGTGTAGCAGACTCGGCTTCAGCATGAGGACAGGGGACAGGGGCAGTGTCCCTCCACGGACCCACAGCCTCACACCCAAAAGTGTGGGACTCGATCACTGATCGACCCAGGCTTCTCCAAGTTGGCCTGTCTACGAGGACATACGTAAGAGTAACTATGATTCTGGAAAGCCCTACAGAGAAGAATGAGATTGAATCAGGCAGAGAGAGCCTCTCCACTATCTCTGTTCTCATAGCCATCACAGGGCTATTTTAGAATTCTTATCACACTGCGATAAGGGAAAAGCAACCAAAGGACCAATGTCTGCAGTCCTCCTGTGACCCTTTCTGCTTTGTGATACTGCCCCTGATCTATTCTCAGAATGGGAGTTAAAAAAGCTGCCTCAGTGAACAGAAGCACAGTGCAGAGGTTGAGAGAAAAGACTCTGGTGCCCAAATGCCTGGGTTTGAAGCAAATATCACACACACACACACACACACACACACACACACGGCCAATGATAGACCACAGTGGTCCCATAAGATTATAATACTGTATTTTTACTGTACCTTTTCTATGTTTAGATACAGAAACACTCAACCTTCTATTACAACTGCCTGCAGTATTCAGCCCAGTAACATGTTTTACAGGTTTGTAGCCTAAGAGCAATAGGCTGCACCATAGAGCCTAAGTGTGTAGTAGGCTATACCATTTGTGTTTGTGTAAGTGCACTTTGACATTTGCACAATGACAAAACCACTTAAGGATGCATTTCTCAGAAAGTATCGCAGCGTTATGCAACTCATGACTATATAAGTATATGCATGTGCATGGACATATGGACATATGGATGGATGGATGGATGGATGGATGGATGGATGGCAGGCTCAGGCAAGTCCTTTAACCTTTCTGTGTCTTGGTTTCTGCATATATAAAATGAAGTTTTTGTGATGATTAAAGGAATTAATAGAATTTAAAATGCTCTTAGAGCAGAGCCTGGCACATAGTAAACACTATGTAAATGTTAGCTATTACCATTTGTTAAATACATGAAAGCATCCAAAGGTACAGGTTGTGTTAAATAGGTATCCTATTACTACCACTGACAGGACAACCAGCTCACAATGAACTACTAGCCCTTGACAGCTAAGAAGGAAATGGCTTGTTTACCCTCATAAAACCTTTGCTTTACCTCCCAAATGCTCCTCTGTCCTTTAACTACAAAGTGACCATCCATCCAGGTTTGCCCAGGATTGAGGGGGCTCCTAACATGTGGAACTTACAGTTTTAAAACTAGAAGGATCCTGGGCAAAGGGTAGATATAGAAACAAAACAGTGTTTTTCAGACGGTTGATGATTTTATCATTGTAGAGAGTGTAGGGGCGTGCTTACAAACTGTTTTAATAAAGAACTGTACTTTATCCTGTCAAAAAAGGGGCTGCACCCAGGTGCTGCAGGAAGAAAGAACTGGGATCACTTCTTCCTCAGGTAATTCTACCTGTGCCTTAGCTGAGGCCACTAGAACAGAATAGCATAGACTGGGTGGCTTAAACTACACAGCATTTATTTCTAACAATTTCTAACAAGGCTGAAAGACCAAGATCGGGGGCCATCATGGCTGAGTCATAGTGAAGGCCCTCTTCCTGGTCTACAGGTGCTAGTCTTTTCCTTGTACCCTCACATGGCAGAGAGCAGAAAGTAAAAGAAAGCTCTTTCCTGTCTTTTTGTAATCCCATTCATGAGGGCCCCACTCTCATTACCTAATTACCTCTCTAAGGCTCCACCTCCTAATACCACCCCTTGGGGGGTTAGGATTTCAGCAACATGAATTTGGGGGCAGAGGGACACAAACATTTAGTCCATAGGACAGTGATTAGACAAGCAAAAGTTAGATTCAGCATGGTACAGTACTTAATATCCTATTCATTTTAAAATTCATTCCTATTTATGCCATCCCCTCTTTTGTTGTTAATTTCTAATAAAGTGTTTAATCTATGTTGTTATTGATGTACAACAATACAGAGAGGAAACTGTACAAATTAAAAGTATTCAATCATAAAGATACCCACTTCTTATAAAGCGAAGATAAACACCACCCAAATAATTAGTTTTTAATGGATTAAAAGCATCCAATTATAGAAGAATTTTATTTCTGTTTTCTGAGACATCAATTTTCTACATCTGGATTCTAAGTATCCTTGAGCTACTTAAACTAGTCCAGGTATAGCATCAAAAGAAAATAACCCAATTTTTAGTAACTCTTGCAAATCCAAACTTTTTAATGACGGATAATGTTGCACAACTAACATTTAAAATTAATATTTTTGATACAAGAGATACCTATGATTATATACAGGGTTTTTTGTCTCTCTTATTTTGGAAGCTCCTCCTATGGGTTTGCTTTGCTATGTCAGTTGTTCACAGTTTACAATTTACAGGGAGGTGTAAAATAACAGAGGTGAAAAGGTCTCACATTACCAGCTAGGACAATAAATACCTCCCTAAGGTACTGTTATAATAATATAGCATTATAAATGCAGAAATGATGGTGACAGCTATATTGTACAAATCTGACCTTTCTTTTTTCAGATTTCTTTTTTTTTTTTAAGCAGCAAGAAACTGAGGCTATCTGACTGGCAAATACTGCAGGCTAAGTGGAGCACTTACTGAATTGCTCTCTCAGCCAGGATGAAGAACGATTGCTCATAAGTCAAACTGTATGTTTGACTGTAAGAGTTTACAGATGAATCTGGCCCAAGGTCATTGCCACTTCATTTCTGTGGTTGGAAGACTTGAAATGGTTAAGCGAGGCAGGGAAGCTACTCAATTCTTTGTGAGAATAGGTCCTCCAGCTGGGTCTTGCATTGGTCTACACTTCAGCGTGAAGGTAAAAAAGGGACACTGGCTTCTCATGCATGCTGAAGATGGGCAGTCCGCCTACACAGGTGGTTCTCAACCCTAGAGGGCTTTACAAACTTTCTGGAGTTTAGAAATAAAAATAAAAAAAAAAAATACACATGCTCAGGACTGCCCTAGCCAATTTACTACTGTTAAACAAGGCTTCTGGGGAGATCATTGTTTTGGACCAGTCTTCTGCACTGGGCCCCTGCAGACCAGACCAAACTAAGATGGAGTCACTTGTGCTAAGTCAGTCCCAGGAAATCAAACTGAACTTTAAAATGGGCAGGCTGGCTTTCCTAAAAAACAGAGATTCCAGGCAACCTGAGTTAGTGCAATAATAAAGTCCTATCCTGCTCAGTAAGGAAAGTAAAATGACCACTCTGCTTTTTGTTGTTTGTACTTTCTTCAGCCCTTTTCTGCGCATAAAGCCAATCTCCTCTGCTCAGCTCACTGGCACACTTATTCTGTTTTATACTTATATTTTATTGTATATAATAAGGTAATGTCCGATTCTAGATCGTAAATAAAAGCCAGTTGGATCTTTAAATTTGTTGTAATTTTGTCTTTTGACAACTCTGTGTCTCTGGAGGTGGAACCCAGGCATCAGCGCAAGTTTAAAAATTCCCAAGTGGTTCTACTCTGCAGCTATGGCTGGAACACTGGGCAAATACTTGGAATCATTAGCAAAGTCCCCATTAGAGGAATGCCTCCAGGACCCTTCTAGGAAAGGAGTCCCTGCAGCCTTGGGAAACGCAGCTTCCAGGTCTGGGTCCCACAGGCAGTGTTAGAGACCAAATCCGCAGTACCACAGGACAGAGAGACAGAGTCACTGAGGCTGAAATCACCAAAAGGAGTTTTATTGACTAGCTCGAGCTAGGGTCTGAGTTTCAGAGCACCAGCGCAGTGGCCTCTATTCTGACAAGGACCCCCGGGAAGGTTTGGGGTAGGGTTTTATACTAGCTGCTATTGCCTAACACCGGTTTCTGGTGTACTGTGATACCAGGAACACAGACCTTGCACAAACTGTTCATGCACTGCTCACGTCTTGCCCTTTTATTTGATTTGTTTGCTCCCATCCCAGGACTTTCCAACCTCTTGTCAGGAGATGACCTGCAGTTACCATTCTTTTGGGGCCCAGCACCCGCTGCAGCTTTACTGCAAGCAAGCAAGCTTAGGGAACAGAAGCTAGAAGAAGCCGTTAGCCTTACTTTTCTTGCATTCCCCCCTTCTTTGGAATGATTACAAGCATTCTTGCTCATCCTTGGGGTCTCTGACCTCCTGCATCTCTACACAGTCACGTCCTAGTCCTTGATATTGCTACCGCAATACCATTAATTGAACAGTATTTATCCGTTCCTTAATGAAAGCTATTAACCTATTGAAGACACATGGCCCCAGAGTGAGAATTAGGAGGGGCACAATGAGTGGACCTAATAGGGTGGACAACAATGTAGTCAACCAAGGGGAGCTATTAAACCATGATTCAAACCATCCTTGTTGTTGCTCGCGCTCTCCTCTCCACCGTGCAAGTCCCTTCCCTAACCTTAGCCATAGACTCTGTAACTACCCCAGTATGGTCTGCATAGAAGCAGCACTCCTCTTGTAGGGCCGCACATAGCCCCCCCTGCTGGAGGAATACTAAATCCAGCCCCCTTCGGTTCTGCAGCACCACCTCAGACAGTGAGGTTAGGGATTTTTCTAAATGGGAGATGGACTCCTCGATTCTGGCTATATCTTCATCTATGGCAGCCCTTAAGCTATTGATTGAACCCCCTATGTTGCACTGCCAAGGACGAGATACCTGTCCCTGCTCCTATTGCCCCCAGGCCATAAAGAGTGGCTGAGGTTATGGCTCTAGTTAACCCGGTACCTTCTGTGCCCTTTGTCCATGCATCATACATTGTATTCTCTTGGTGGTAAATAACCTTAGGGAATACTAGTACCATAATGCAGTATTCCTCTGATTCATTAAAAACAGACAGGCTAAGACATGGAGTCAGACCTGTTTTAGAGCAAATCCACCACCCGTTGAGCGTCGGAACGATCCATTTTGCTCCTCCGGTCCGGTTTGCAGACGGGTGGACTTCGGCACACAACTGCGCATGACTAGAAGGCACCTTTGCTATGCATGTTCCTTTCTGGTGACTGCCTGAAGTATTAGCCCCGGGCCGTTACGGTCCCATGCGCAGGACTTGGGGGTCTCATCTCCTGAACGGTTAAAGGGGGCGGCTACCCCTACCGCTTCCTAAAAGGGGGTCTAATATCATAACATAACCAGCAGGCTTCCGTGGCGTTGGGGTCTGCACGGTTCAATGCCTCATATGCTGCAGTCAGCACCTTCTGTAAGGAATCTCCTGGGTCATTTTATATTTGATGGTTTATAGGGGACTGAATGGCTAAGGAGACGTTCGTGGATGTGTTATGGCTTGTGGTAGGCTGCCCTAGGTCCGCTCTTGCTCCTCCTCCCAGCACCTGGTTGGGTCCCCCTGCTACTTGGGGAACAGGGCTAACCTTAAGCTTAATCTGAAGCACAGTGCCATGGTATGGTCGTTGGTAGAGATAAATTCCCCAGGACAGTCCAGAGACCCACCGGGACTCTTTTTTTCCGGCTTCGGTGAATGATACCCTCACTAGGGTGCAGTCAGTTTGGTAAGTGTCGTAGTTGGACCTATCTGGACCTTTTCCCCAATCGCCGTACGTGCAAGGAGGCGTCCCTGGCCGCACAAAAGACATGTCAATGAGCCCTGGGGTTACCGACCATTTCCAGTTGCCGTCGTTAGTATCCACACAACTCCATTTAGCACAGTACAAGCTCTCTATACCACCACAAGCCCGCTGCATCTCTCCCGTTCGGAACCCCGGGCATGTAAAGAACCCGTTATTACGAACCTGTCTCCCCCGGTTGGCCCGTTGCCGGCTCCCCATTTTGGAACCTCCCCCTACTAACTCATCCACTTTTTCTAGATTAAAATACATATCCGGCCACCACGTGCCTGGTGGGGCTGTTTTAGAGGTCTGGTTATAGACCTCGTGGGTCTTTAAGTTAGTTATTTCCCACGTAAGGTTATAAGGCACGTGGGGATTTGAGTCAGTCACTGTTTTTTCCATAAGGGTTATAAATATGAAAGTCACCACAAGCATTTTTATTCTGTGTTTCTTCATCGTTGGTCCCTCGGCGGTTTGGTCGACACGCTAGCGGATTTTCTGGGTCTGCTGTTGCCTTCCACTGGTCCTGCTGCTGTTCTTGTTCGCCTTTAATGGCAGGTCTCACGTGGGAGTGGTGTATCCAGGCCGCCACCCCGTCAACCTTAAGTGCAGTGGGGGTAACAAGAATAATTTGAAAGGGTCCTTTCCGTCTAGGCTCTAGGGTTCTACTATTATGCTACTTTACCCATACCCAATCCCCTGGCTGATGAGGGTGATGAGGGTGTTTGTTACTCTCGTTTCTTCGCTCAGTTGTCTGATAGATGGCCTGGAGGGCTGGCCATATCTGACTGTGGACACCCTGTAGGGCCTGCACAGCCTGCAGTACCTCTCTGGGGTGTCTAGGCGGGGCCCCGGAGTTCATCCTTGGAATTACAGGAGGGGGAGTACCGTATACAATTTCAAAGGGAGTCAAACCCAAATGGTAGGGGGTGTTCTGGGCTCGGAACAAGGCGAAGGGAAGGAGGGTCACCCAATCTCCGCCAGTCTCTAAGACCAATTTAGTCAAAGTCTCCTTTAGAGTTCTGTTCATCCTTTCTACCTGCCCTGAGCTCTGGGGGATTGTATGCACAGTGTAATTTCCAATTTGCCCCCAGGGCCCGAGCTAACCCTTGACTAACCTGACTTGTGAAGGCTGGTCCCTTATCCGACCCTATGCTCTCTGGCAACCCATACCTGGGAACTATCTCTTCTAATATTTTCTTTGCTACTATTAAGGCGGTCTCTCCTTTAGTAGGTAAAGCTTCTAGCCACCCTGAGAAAGTGTCTACCATGACCAACAAATATCTATACCCATATTTTCCTGGTTTTACCTCTGTGAAGTCTATTTCCCAAAATAATCCTGGTTGCCTCCCTCGCTCCCTGGTACCTGCATGGGTCCCTCTGATCCTGCGGTTACCACCCTTTAGGGGCCCATCACCCGCTGGAGCCTTATTGCAAGCAAGCAAACTTAGGGATCAGAAGCTAGAAGAAGCTGTTAGCCTTACTTTTCTTGCAGCAGAAGTTGGATAACATAACGCCGCTCAAGTGGAGCAGCAACGGTTTAGTAGCTTACACTCACGTACTTACCTTTGCAAACACTCGCAAAAGCCAGGAACTGAGGTCAAGAGTACAAGAACTCCCGTGGGACTGGACCACCACGCTCTCGCAGCTGCAGGAGCTGCACGAGCTGCACATGCTCACCGGGCAGGGCGGAGTGCGCACGCGCGGACCAGGCCTGGGGGAGGGCGGGGGAACGGGGGCGGGGCCAGTGGAGGCGCGTGTACGGGATGAGGGCGGTACTTCCGGCCGGGGCACCACCGGGGGGCGGGGCCTGGATCGCGACCCCGGCCCGCGACTGCGACCCTGGCCGCGACCTCTACTCTTTGTCCGCCCGCATGGCCCGGCATGTGTTCCTGACGGGGCCCCCAGGTAACCCCGCCGGCGGTTTCCACTTCCAGCAGACCGAGGGGGTGAGGGGCGCGCGGGCTGGGGACGACCCCGTGATCTGGAAGAGGCGCGGCCGGCTCCGGGGCTCTGGCCTTTAAAGTTCCCAACTTACGGGACAGGCCTGGAAGTCTGACGGCTGCGAACTCTTTCCCAGAAAACGTGGTTTTAGAGACGAAGTAGCGGTGGGGCGCTATGCGGGTTGTTTATTAAAGGCGTGAAACAGCAAGGTCCCCCTGCAGCGGCAGTAACTTCCGCAGTTTGCAGTTGGGGTCTGTGCAAACGCCGTCCGAGATATGCGGCGACCCTGATGTGACGCGAAGATGCCTGGTTTCCACTGACGCTAGATAGTCACAGGTGCTCCCGTCGCTGTGGCTCGCGGCCTACATTCAGGATAAAAGGAAGTGGGAAACACCTCAGTTGAAGGATAAGGAAACTGAAGATGTAACCTTACCCCCCCCCGCCCCTCCCCCCACGCAGCCAAGTTCACTCACCCCCTGAATTCCCTCCATGGATGAGGCCGCAGGTGGAGAGAAGCCTGTACCTACAGGATCCCCTCTTGAGAGCCCACGTCTGTAGCTGTCCCGTTCCCTCCTAATGCGCATGTCAAATCCGTCAACCCTGTGGGCTGTGGAGTTCTCATCTGTGAAACTGGATCATGGTAGGTCAAGTGAGAGACTGCAGGAGGAGATGCTTTTAAAAGCATCTCCTGTAAATCGAGGCGCTACCCATGTATCAGGTGTTAACTAAAAGAAGAGCAGAAAGGTAGTGGCAGCATCAGATAGGCTAAGGAAGAAAGATGAGCTAAGAGTAGAGAAAGTGATTTCTTCACCCTTTTTGCAGGGCAGGTCTAATTTTGAAGTTGGTTTCGGGTTCATATAGCAAAGATTGTAACCTTAGGCCTAGAATTTTCTTTCACTTTATTTTGATGATTATGTTAGCTTTAGGTAGCAAAGGCTACACTTAATATTGCAAACTTTGGAATTTATTTTACCAGGTAGTAAGGGGGGGTAGAATGGGGGGGGTTAGGAGGATCCAGGGTGGTTCAAGAAATGTCTGCTATCCCAAGGCACTCCTAAATATTGGAAAGAACTGTCTTCTAAAAATTGATTTGTCAGTGGTTTATTTGAAACTTGGAATGCAGTTTGATACTCAGCAGGCTGGTCCCAAGACATCTGTGTGTTTCATAACAGAGGTGTCCTGTTGTCACGACCGTACTGGCACTGGCTCTTTCTGCTTCCTTCTTTATCAAAGTTTTATGTACACACAGTTGAAAGACTCAAATGCTCTCTTAAGCCTGTCCTCAAACCCACCCTCTTTCTCTTCCGAATGTAGCTGTAGTGTAACTTTCTTTAGCTCCATGGCCATTGGTTATAGTATTATGACTGTGTAAAAGCTAATCACAACAGAGCCAGGTAGTAATCTATAATGTCTTTTTCTTTTATACACACTTTCCCCCGGTTTGGAGTTACTGTCTGGTGTTTTCATTTGCCTGGTTTCTTTCTGTCACCAACTCTCTGCCAAACTCTGCCTCTGTCTACATCTTCTCAACAAGTTCAGGCCGTCAAGTAATGTAGCCTCTCAGAGAGGTCACTTTCTATTGCATCTACTCTCAGTGCCCCTGGTACTTAGCATTTTTCCCGACTTCCAACAGTCCACACCTGTGACTCATCTTGGAGGGCTTTCTCTGGTCACTGCACACTTGGCCTGCACACAGGGAAGACCAGAAGAACCTAAGAATTCCTGTCCCATAGGATTAGTTTTCAATCCATGTTTGGTGGAAGTTGGTGGATGTTTCCCCCCCTTCAGATAGGATAATGTGAGCCACGTGCCCTAAATTATCTCCCGGGATTCCCGAGAGCGATAAAGCTCCAGCTGCCCCTGATGGTAACCGGCTTGTTAATGCACCTGTGGTCGTGTCCCTCCCTTTCCTGACCTTCCCTACCAGTGCATAATTTTGTCACTTCCCAAGTTAAACTACCTACACTTGCATCTTTATCCAAGGGGCTGCTTACGGAAGAGCCCAAACCAAAACAATTGTGGAGCTTTCTGATCGGCTGTTGTCTGTACAGGGTGTGCAGCTATCATCTTGGGGGCTCCTGCAGCACAAGTCACTTCTTAGCCAATGTAGATGGCACTGGGGTAGCAGCTTAACTAATGAAGATGAAAAAATTAACTGAAAGAGGATTTCTAGAGCTGAAGAAGCCAGAAGGGACTTGACCCAAACACTTCCTGTGTATCGCTATACTATGTTCTACATAACATATGTGTCCCTATGGTACACCCTTTCTAAGCTGGAATTATTACAGTTGCTCCATTTTGTCTTTTTCAAAATACAAGTAGCATTGTTTTTTCTTAGAATAAGAGTAATACCCGTACAGTATAAGAACAAAAAAACATGAAAGCTTTAAGGAAGAAAGTGACGATCACATGAAATTCCAACATACAGAAATCAACACTGTAAATCTTCATTCTGTATTCTTCTTGACATTTTCTTCTGTAGACACACATACTTCACCTTTTTAAAAAACATAAGGGAATAATACTACATATTTCTGCTGTTACTTAATCTGCTTTTTTCCCACATACTATGTTCATATATTGTGGTCTATTTCCCATGCTAATAAATATAAGTAAATAATATTCCTTTTAAATGGTTGCATGGTATTCTTGTGTATTTATGTGCTGTTATATACATGGTGCCATAAATTAACAATCCCTTACTGATCAACAGTTAGGTTGTTTTCAATGTTTTGTTATTATAAAGAATTCTGCAGTGAATGTCTTAATTGACACATCTTTTTTTTTTTTTTTTTTTTTTTTTTTTTTTTTTTGAGACAGAGTCTCATTCTGTTGCCCAGGCTAGAGTGCCATGGCATCAGCTTAGCTCACAGCAACCTCAAACTCCTGAACTCAAGCAATCCTTCTGCCTCAGCCTCCCAAGTAGCTGGGATTACAGGCATGTGCCACCATGCCCGGCTAATTTTTTCTATATATTTTTAGTTGGCCAATTAATTTCTTTCTATTTTTTTGGTAGAGATGGGGTCTTGCTCTTCCTCAGGCTGGTTTCGAACTCCTGACCTTGAGCAATCCTCCCGCCTCAGCCTCCCAGAGTGCTAGGATTATAGGTGTGAGCCACCCCGCCTGGCCCTGACACATCTTTGTGCTATTTGATTATTTACTGAGGATGAATTCCTAGTTGTAGAATTGCTAGGTGCTGTGGTAGGCACATTGAAAGTGCCCTTCCGCAAAGGAATACCAGCTTACACATTCAACAATGCCACTTGCTTGCATTAAACAGATAGATTTTTCAGGTGACTTTCCTAAAGCAGTCATTACTGAGGGACAGAACTGAGATTAGAACTTTGTCATTTTATGTTCTATACAGTTCTCTTACCAGCCACCTGTTCTCTGTGGTTCGCTGTAGCTGGAATCCTCTTGGGTTGCTGTTCATGTTCCAGAAGGCCAGCTGCCATTATTTTAGTGTGCGGTTTGAAGGAGAGATACATTAAATATGAATAATCATATTTTATTTCAAGGAAGCTTAAAAGGCATCTTGGAGAGCCCTGCCGACTCTGTGTGGGTAGCCATAGAAATAACGTGGTTTGCAACTCTGTAGTATCTCAGATTAGCTCAATTGCAGACCTGCTAGAAGTTTTCCTTCTCTTTATATTTTTTGATAATCCTGATGCTACTTATTCATTGGGAACAAGGCTCATATAAAAAAATTTATGGTGAGAGATAAAGGCCCCTGTTGAAATGTATGGTCATGACTAAATGGGTAGCCTTGGATAAGTTACCTAACCACTGTGTGCCTCAGTTTCTTCATCTGCAAAATAGGGATAAGGATGGTAACTGCCTCGGAGGGTAGGTGTGAGGACTTAACCAAGACAGTGCTTGTAAAGCATGCTAGAACAGTGTCTGGCCCCAGAATGTCAGTGATTAGTTTTATTATGTTAGTTACACCCGGTGGTGCTTGTGAATACATAAGAGTTCATCAGAGTGGTCAACACGTGAGGCTGGCAGGAAAAAAAGGGTCAGAGGTGGGGAGGATGGAGGGCAGAGGTGTATAGATTCAAATTTGGGAAGGGATTGGGGGGAACCTGAAGGAATGCTTAGGGACCCTGGAGGAGGTGATGTTGAAAGAGGTTGAGAACCTCATAGGATTACTCTTGTGAAAAAGTTTAAAAGTGACCATTTCTAGGGACATTCTTGGTGTTTAAGAGATGCATTTTCAAGAGATGTAGCAGTGTAAGTCCAGGGAGGAGTAAAGTGATTTTCTCACTGTTGAGTGTAGATCCGTAATCTCTTGAAAGTTGAAGTCCCAAAGTGCCCAGCCTCTGACCCAAGCATGACCAGTTTTGTTTCTTAGGTGGAAAAGTGAGGACAGTAAACCTAGGAAAAAACAGAAGCTTATCTCATAGGATGCAAGTTGCGCTTGAGAATGTCATCCAAAAACCACTCATTTGGTTCTGGGATTGCATATGTGACAGAACTGATAAAGTTTTGGACTTTTTAAAAACCCTAAAGATATCGTTCATATTTTTATTATGCTTGTTTCTACTTGAGATTAAAAAATTTTAACTCCTTGGCTAGACATGGTGGCTCATGCTTGTAATCCCAGCACTCTGGGAGGCCGAGGCAGGAGGATCACTTGAGGTCAGGAGTTCTCAAGACTAGCCTGAGCAAGAGTGAGACCCCGTCTCTACTAAAATAATAGAAAAATTAGCCAGGAACAGTAGTGCATGCTTGTAGTCCCACCTACTTGGGAGGCTGAAGCAGGAGGGTCTCTTGAGCCCAGGAGTTTGAGGTTGCTGTGAGCTGTGATGATACCACTGCAGTCTAGCTGGGGTGACAGAGCAAGACTCTGTCTCAAAGAAAAAAAAATTAACACCTGAGGCAGTCAAAATTAAAGTGAAATTAATATTCATAACATCCATTTGCAGCCCATTTCTCTACTTACCCTAATTGCTCTCTCAGAAACAGCCAGTGCTGCGCATGCTCTATCAAAGGAGCACTTCCTAATTGGCCTTTTTTCTTCTTTTATTTTAGGGGTTGGAAAAACAACATTGATCCAGAAAGCCAGTGAGGTTTTAAAGTCCTCTGGTGTGCCTGTTGATGGATTTTATACAGAAGAGGTCAGGCAGGGAGGGAGAAGAATAGGATTCGATGTCGTCACGTTGTCCGGCACTCGGGGGCCTTTATCTAGAGTCGGGTACTGATATTTCATTTCTGTAGTGTTCTGTACTCTAAGCTGTCCTTCCATCTGTATTTTGGGATCTTTTCTAAGTCAACAAGAGCTAAATTCACCAAAAGCAAACCCCCTGTGTTGAGTCCTTGGATGCACCCTGCTCTTTCTTCAGGCTGAGCACCTTCCCCTGGTGCAGCAGTGAGCCAGACCATCACATCTGTCCCAAAGAATCACAGGCCCTTAGAGATTTCTCAGGGAACAAAAACAGAGAATGAGACCGTCCTATGAAAAACAAGTATAAAAAAGTCATATTTCACTTAAAACTTATTCTACTGAGTCATAAACTCTTCTTCCTTTGTGATTCTTAGCCCTGTCTCTAGTGCCACTTTTCAGAGATAGTTGATGCATTTGCTGCCTGGGGCCCCGGGGATGGCCCTGCCATCATAACTGCAAGGTTCTGACACTGCAGAGAAAACTGAGATCAGCCCCGCACACCACCACTTTTTGTGTAGGTGATTTTTAAGGGTGATATAGCATCTGCAGAATGCCAGAGGCTCAGTGGGGCAGCTAAAAGCCAAAGGTCAATACAGGGCTGTTTCAACAAAGACTGTCTTTTCATTTAGATTAGACCCTCCACCTGGAAAACGAGAATGCCGAGTTGGGCAGTATGTGGTTGATGTGACTTCATTTGAGCAATTTGCCCTTCCCGTCTTGAAGACCGTGAGTATTTGGTTTCTGCTTTTTGAGCCCATCTGCTCTTGGTGCATTGTGGGAATTGCTGGCCTTGGGAACAGAATGGCTTTTGCTCTTAAAGGGAAGCCAGTCTTGCATTTTATAGTTAAAAGTCTTCACGTGATTGAGTCTTAAGAATATGTAACAAAATTTGCTGTCACTCTGAGCTATAAGTAAATCCCTATAAATTCAGCACATATAAATATTTTATATCGTGAAGGCTCTGATGCCCAACTCCCAGCATTCCCTAAGATAGATCTTTTCTCTGTCTTCCCAGATTTGTATCTTACGTGGTTTCACAGAACAACAAACATTTAGCAAGAGAAAATGTCATTATGTGAACATAATGGTCAGTAGTTACTGAATGCCTCCCAGATTCCCTGAGCACCTAACATATTATATCACTGTATTACCTTTTTTAACAAACATTTAAACATGCTTTTTTGGGCGGTGGAGAAAGCATTCAATCTTCTAATCTTAGGGAGAAAGCATTAGGGAGAGTCTGGGAGACTATTCTAGATGGCAGGAACAGAAACACTAAGACCTCAGAGCCCTCAGGCAGGAGCAGGTAAGGTTGGTGAGGTGGGTGGGGCTGGGAGATGCAGGGCTTTGTGGATCATGTTAAGGAATGCGGTTTCATTTAATCTATTACAGACTTACTACTTTGATAGACTTTTGTGAAAATTGAATGGTATAGACGTGGCTCAAGGACCAATTAAAAACCTTCCAGGGGTTTCCATGGTACCAGGAATAGAATCCAGTGGCCTGGAAGGCCCTATGCTATCTGGCCCTACTAGCCTCTGGCCTCATCTTGCCGTTCTCCAGCCTTGCTGGTTCAGTCACGTTGCCCACACATGCCAGGGTCATGCCAACCTGAGGCCCTTGGCACTTGCCATTTTCTTTGGTGGGCACACTGTCTTTCCAGATCTTTGCCCCTCTGTTCCTTGACATTCGAGCTCAGCCAAAATGTGTGATGGTATTGCCCAGAGGCTGCTGAAGATTTTGGTTGGAGCCTGCTGAGGACAGCCTCTAACTTCGGTGGGCTGGCAGTATCTTCTGGTCTGTTTCGGTAGAAGGCTGCTGCTCCTCAGAGCCCGCCAGAGTTCTCCTTTGCTTCTTTCTATCCTGTCTCCTCCTCCCACATCCTTCTTTCCTAATTCCTTTCTCCTGGAACTTTCCTTCTGTCTCTGTGCTGGGGACTGTTGTGGCCGCTATATTGTGTGGGAACAGAGAACATGGTACTTTTCTTCTTCTCCCATCAAATACAGCCACTCTACTTAAATGTTCAAAAGACAAGCAAAATACTTCACATGAAATTCCAAGTGAAGATCCCAACTTTGGGCACCAGATCAATATAAAGAATTGATTTTACTTACCCTGCTTAGACAGAACAGACTGAATCCTGGGAGAAGAGTGTGCACACAGGTGTAAATGTCTAGCTGCAAGGTTATATAAGAGATCATGGGCTGCCTGAATCAAGAGCTTGAATCTCTTTTTTAATTAAAAAATAAAGAAATGCATACTTCTCCCAGTTTTTATATTCTGATTACCAAATGCGGACATTCACATTGCAGGTGGGACTCTCACCTAGTCAGGGTCATGGATTTCTTTTCAGGAGCAGAATTTTTTTTTCCTGTCACACTTATTTTATTGGGATGAAGAAAGGAGAAAGAATTAGTGTTTTGCCTTTATAATAAAAAAAAACAAAGTAACTATGTAACAAAAATAGGAAAGTATAAACAGATGGTTTTTAATATTGGTGATCAAAATAACCAAGGAAGCTTTAAAAGTCACATGTAGGCAGGTGAAAGAAACCCTTTATTGAGGGTTTATACAGTGTGTTGGTTCGTAATGCCTTGCACCTGTGGAAACACAAACTCCAACACTAAGTCAAGAAATATCTGTCATGTGTAAGAAATTTCACTATGGGTGAAAGTTTGAGTTGTTTTTTTAAGATACACAAAAAAAAACGTTAAGAAAAGTACTTCTGTGATCGGGCCAGCAGGGCTGTGCCTGTTTGTGTGCAGGGCAGTAAGAACGTGGCTGGGAGCTGGCATGCAGCTTGAGGCAGAGGAAAGGCTGAGAGGATGCCCAGGCCAGACCTGGGCCCCCCTTGCAGAGCTGCTCTGGGTGCACTTCTTTAGGTGGGAGTGGAGACTGAGCCGGACTCATGGGCACCATGAGAAATAAATGTAAAGTGCAATTGGCCAGCGTTCTAGACTCAGGAGGGTTGACTGTTGCTTATTTTTTTCATTCTAAGGGTGACATCTGTCTTTATGTAAAAAGTCAACATTTATTGTTTTCCTGAGTATTAAAGTTCTACATACTCATGGCAGAAAATTTGTAAACAAAATGTAAAAGAAAAAAAAAATATGAGTAACTCTTATCACCAAGTTAGCCATTGCTAGCATATTTTGTTTCCGTTCCTTTTCTGTGCCTAGTTTTATTTATTCAGCCATTCAAAATCAGGGAAATGCTCTATATAGTTTTATAGGCTTGATTTATTTCCCCTTAATGTGGTGGCAGGACATGGGAATGGTCTCACAACATGATAATCTTCAAAGCTGGGGTGTTTTAATGGTTGCACCACATTTCATGGTGTGCGCCTGTTTTCATATCTGATTTGGCTGTTGCTCACTCAGGGTTGGGCATTTCGGTTATATCTCACCACTGTGAGTGACCTTCAAACAAAATATCTTCTGTACATGAGTCTGTTTGTCTAGCTGTGATTGTTTCCCCGGGAAGGGTCTCAAAGTGGAAGTACCGGGTGGAGGGGTGAGAACTTTCAGGGCCTGACTGGGGCTGCTGTGACGGTTGAGTCACTCTGTGCCCCACTGCCAGTGCATGGGCATGTTTGTTTTGCTGCACTTTTGCCAGCACTTAGCACTGTGCTGATTTTCTGTACAGAAACACAATGCTTTGCTTGGATTCGCATTTTTTAGTTATTATTGAGGTTGTTTTTCAATTGTTTATGTGATGTTTTCTTTAAATTGTTCATTCACTGTTCTTCCCTTTTTTGACTTAGAGATCTTTTATAAGACAGATAACCTTTCTGTATTTATTGATTGTAATTTTCTCATTTTTTCACTTTACTTTGGTGATTTCTTTTCCATAACGTAAAGTCTGTCCCTATTCTGAATTAATATAAAATTTTATCTGTATGTTTCTTCTGTGATTTTTTAAAAAACATTTATATTTTTAATCCATCTGGATTTATTTTGAATGCAATATACAATGAAACTCTCAATTGATTTTCTTTCTGCTACTTAGCCAGTTTAGTAAAACCATCTGTTAAATAACCCATTTCTAATTAAGTTGATATGCATCATTAATTATATTAAAATATCTATACTTGTGTCTGTGTTTTTAGGGTTATCTGTTCTCTTCCATTAAGCTGTTTTATTCTTGTATCAATACCATACTGTTTTAATTACCATGGTAATTATTTGTATTATTCTTTAAAAATGGTCTTACTCATTCTTGTTTGTTCCTCCTTCCAAACTGTAGTGATGTTGGCGGTAGTGGTGGTGGTGGGGACAGTCGTAGTAGTAGTAGTTAACGGTGACTGAATGCAGACTGTGTGCCAGGCACACACTCGTTTGATCCTCAGAACACTATCACTGTATTCCTGTTTTACAGATGGGAAAACTGAGGCAAGGAGTAGGAAGTAACTTACCCAGGGACACATAATTTGCAAGTGGTAGAGCTGGCATGAACTGTAGAATCAAGATTTTATTATCCATTAAAACATGTCTTATATGGAATGATTGAAACTATATAAGAATATAGTTATTTGCATATAAAGACTCTCTTATTTCAGAAAATCTTCATTCTCCACAGCTAAAAACATAGTTTCTCTCTCCTTCCTCCCCTTCCCCTTCCCCCTCCCCCTCCCCTCTCTCCTTCCCTCCCTCATTTCTTGGTAAGGTTATTCATAGGGCTCTTGTATTTTCTGATGCTGCTGTAATTAGGATTGTTTTTTCAGTTTTCTAATGATCAAGGCTGATAGGATAATGTTGGCCTTTTTCATAATCGTCTCTTTGACAACTACGCTGAAAGCTTTATTAAAATTTGATGCAGGGTAAGATTTAACATTTTATTGGTTTTCAGTGTATCTCCCACTCACATAAAAAGATAACAATGGATTATAATGTGTTAAAGAACAAAGGACATCTACTCGAAGCCTTGTTTTCCAGGCTGAACGGTGTTGCTTTTTACAAAGATCCATGGAAGGAATAGTAAGCTTAGGATCAGAATACCCAGTGAAAAACAACATAGTTTGAACCTTATATTTCCCAGTTTTGATCAAAATAAGGCTTTAAAGTATACTTGTTTTTGAGAACAGGATCTGCTTTTGATTCTGAAAGAGACTCTGCTTCAGAAAATCTTCAGAATTTCATTTGAAGGTGACAGGACTCCTATCTAGGGAAAATTATTATTTTTTTTAACTCCTAAAAAAACTATTATTTTTTAAACAGTGTTTCAGGCCACTGGGCTTTAGGAAGAATTTAGAAAAATCTAGTTATAGTCAGAATTCATTCTTGAAATGTTGGCATGAGCCCTCAGCATTGCTTTAGCCTTTCCTTTCTTGTGGTTGGCAGAGGTAGCATTTGTTTGTTTCTTGCCCCTCACTTTCTTTTTCTCTGCCTTGTGATCACATGTATGTTTTGTAGGATCAGCCAGGAAAATGAAAAGCTTATCTGGTGCAAACATAGAAATCAGTTTTAAATTTGTCAGTAAAGACATTCTCGTAGTGAATCAAAATAGTAGCATGAACCGAATCACTAGGAGGCTGGCCCTGCAGTTCATTTTGTAGGATTCATCTTGGCAAACCTTACTGGTGATCTCTCCAGTTTCCACTGGGCAAGGGCTGAGGCTTCACTGTTTCACACCGCTGGCCTTGGGGAGGTCCTGCGCAGTTAGACGTGGAGCAGGCTGTTGCCTGTCTGGGTTAGGACGACTCCACATCCTGCATCTCGCAGCCTGCT